TATTAGCTTATCGTCTTAGTAAATCTGTTATATTGTATTGTGTGTAGAATTATTTTCTTTATATTTACTAGCCTGTCGACAGAGTAATCATTGTTATGACTATAGGCTTATGATTCTAATCGTTCCTTCTAGTCAAACCTTCAAAAAACTGATGCAACTGAGGAATATTCCAGATGAAGAGGCGTCGATCGACCGATCTCCTTCGCCTTCGCCCTTAGAAGGACTAAGCGTTGACGTTGACTTACATGCAGCTGAGAAACTGTCGAATGTCGCCAGTGTTGCTGAAACTCTTCTTGATGTCGTTCCACGTGATGAGGAGATGACAGAGCAACCTGCTGTTGCAACTACCTCAAAGCCACTGAAGAATTACCGGCATGACGTTCGGAAAGAGTACGCGAATCAGGTGCAACGTCAGATTCTTTTATCGCTTGTTCTGCATATCGCTGGTTTCATCCTCAGTAGATCCCGATGGTTTCGGAGTTTGAAAATGAAAACCGTTCATAAACACTCAAATCGCATTAACAGTAATGAACATATGTTATGCAAATAAAAATAGGTGATTATGTTCTGAGTTTACTAACAACAGTTAGACACAAAAAACTTGTTGGCACAAAAAGCTAAGCAAGGAGCGCCTAAACTAAGATTTCTGAAGTAGAACATTCTTTCGAATCTTGCATGTAGAGGTCTGACAATTTATCAGTCAGTGAGCCTGATCAAACTACACCATCAATCAAAACGTACCAGAAGTGAATTGTGTTTTTTCGTTTGTGGACCCAGCAAAGTCCGTAACAAATCTTCTTTCACTCTTTTGACTGTCAAAACTAGTTGAACGTCATTGTTTGCTTTAAAGTATATGTATGTTTGTTCTCTTTGCATATACAGTGTCTATATTGTTTTCAATTGAGCAACTGAAAACTAAGTTACAGTTAGTTAACTTTAAGCTTTAATTGAGTTAAATAACTGACTTGTTAATGTCGCCGGTTAGTTATAGCATATAGACGTTGCTTCTCAGTCGTAATCTCATCGTCTCAAGTTCAAGGTTGAAGATACTTAACTGATATTTTTAACTCGGAACCATGAAAACATCTACTGTTTTACCGAACGCTTCATGAAATTGCTCGTTTCAACGGAGATTTTCCTTCACGCCATAATCGCAGTTTAAAACAGCGATTCATTTTTCTTTTTAATCAAGCTGGTTGCAGATTTGTGCAAAACATAGACTGGGAATTCTGAGCATCAAATTTATGCGCCGCATTTTAACATCCTGGATAATATTTGACAAAGAATTTTGATAATTTTTCAAAACCTTCAAATTCCTGCATGATCCTCCTGATCAAAAATTTTGCCATCCAGGGAATGCATTCCCACCCTGAGAAAAACTGTAGGGCAATTAATTAACGACAATGATCTCTTCATCCCTTTAACCGAGTGCGGTAATTGGAAAAGAAAATGTTCCATGGTATTTGAGCTCAGGCAGTGCCAGACGGATCTTTCACTTTGTTCTCTGAAGTCACCTGGCGCTCATTACGAATGATGTCTCGACAGCTGGTATTCTTTATCTGTTACATAAATGTCACAGTATGGTTTCATACACAGCAATGTGTTGGCAAGTTGTTATCGAATAAAAGTTAGGCTCCGTGCTCTTCGTTACTTAAGGAGGTCCCTCAACGAAAATTTATGCAATTAATTTTCGTTGAAGTCGCATTAGGTAATTATATCTGGACGTATATGGGTTGTTCATTGCTGTCGTGGTGTTTTGAATCAGTATGCTACACATTCCATTTCCCCTGATTGTGATCTATGAGAAAACTGTTTTTTGGATCTATCGGTTTATGATTAAAATTATCACCATGGACAATTGTGAAAAATTAAATTTAAGAAACTTTTATTAGTTTGATTATTTTTCAGTTAATGAATGGCGAATGGCTTTTGGAAGTCCCTCATGATTTCGCAGACAATTGGTACATGGTCCCCTGTCCACGAGGAAAGCGTTGTTTCCTCGCCGCCGAAAATGTAAGTCGAAGCTTCATGTGTTCGATTTTAAATGGCGTTTTATTCATTGGTAAATTATGCAAATGCGTCGCATAAATGACGCGTCATGTGACCTTTGCTGCAGAAGTAAACTGCGTTTGTTTAAACTTGTGGTGTCATTTGAAACCGGTCAAAAAAGGCAGAATCACCAACTTGAGGAGAAAGTTTAGAATAGTATGAATGGTTGAAATTAAACAATAGATTTTAAAGTTATGAAATGCAGTATAACATCCTGTAAATCCAGGTATTTTATATAGACAAGGCCGCTAGCTGCCTTTGTATCAGTTGTGTCCTGATGATGTTTCGGTGTGCGTGGCGAAATGCGTTGATTAAAAAATATTAACATCTGTGTTGTTTTTTGGTGCCCTCCATCATGAATCGGAAAACTGTCTACAAACACAGCAGTTATTTGTACAACTTCACTTTTCAGACATAGCTAGGTTTTAATGATAACGAAGTAACAAATAACGATAACAATGATAACGAAATATGCAAGGTTTCCATTATTAATTTCCTCTAACTTCTCCGGTGTCACAGGGCGTAGTCGCACCATATCTTTGCTTCTCATATTATAAAGGACAGTTTAAATGGGCCACAGCTGCGTAGTATTTTAGCACCTGCAATGCTTTGGCGCAAACCAATATCATTTGGTTAGGTCGAACAACAACCTATTCGAACGATATGACGGATATGCATCGTGTATGTAGGCATGTATATCAAAAACTAGCTCGAGTATTATTGGTTTACTAGCAAAAATGTTAGTACAAATATCTGTTCGACCCACGGAAACGACAGTGTTGGAATTTTGCGTCCGTGCACTGTAGGTAATAAAATACCACAAAGCCGCAGTGAACTGCATTAGCGGTACCTTAAGCTACTGGAATCTAAGAGATGACGCGTTTCCTGCGGCTTGAATCTGGATAAGTGATTGGAAAATGTCCTTTCTGAAGCGATATTGAAAACCATCGGTTTGCTATCAAACATATAACCGGGGTTAATATTTGTTTACATTATTAATTTATTAGTTTAGTTGATGGATGATTTGTTTCACAGTGCAACCTCTTAACGTTCAGTTTTGTAAGGGGTGCTTTATTTAAGAACATAAAATCACTGAATAGAAAAATGGGTGAGGAATTTAACAACACATTATTTCAAATTCTTAATGTCTGACAGCTTGATTTTTGGCCACCTCTTCACCTCTGTAGTTTAGGTTGGTACAGTAAAACTGGTTAATTCAAAATTCGAGGGACTTAAAATAGCGTCGAATCCCGTGAGGCCTGACTAATTTGAAATTTGGAGGCAACTATCGAACCATATGTTGTATTAAAACAAATTATCAAAAGAAAATAAGAAAATGATATAGTTGAAATTATAAAATTAAAATA